CAGGTCTGCACTGCCAGGAAGCTCGGATCAGAAACTGAGGTGCTCCCGCAGGGAACGTAGGCTAACACTTGCACTCCAATTAGTATTTTTGAAGTGTTACCTTTTTTTTTAAGCAATGAAAATATACTCTTTTAATTGGTTCTAACGGGTACTTAAATTCTTATAAAATTTACATGCTCACAATGAGCTGCGAGGGGTCCAGGCAGGTCTTCACTCATATGAACCTTGACCTTGGAGAGGCGAAGAGGATGCGTAGCTAGAGTCCACCAACCAAGTGCACAAGAAAGTCACATGATTCACTCAATTCCCTTCCTATAGAAAGGCTCTCTCTGGGCACGGCGCGGTGGCTCAAGTGGTTAAAGGTCCTCGCCTTGCACGCCCAGGATCCCATATGGGCACCGGTTCTAATCCCGGCAGCCCCGCTTCCCTTCCAGCTCCCTGCCTGTGGCCTGGGAAAGCAGTCGAGGACGGCCCAAAGCTTTGGGACCCTGCACCCGCGTGGGAGACCCGGAAGAGGCTCCTGGCTTCGGATCGGCATAGTATCGACCCGTTGCGCTCACTTGGGGAGTGAATCATCGGACGGAAGATCTTCCTCTCTGTCTCTCCTCTCTGTACATCCGCCTTTCCAATAAAAAAATAATAAAAATAAATCTTTAAAAAAAAAAGAAAGAAAGGCTCTCTCTGAATGAGGTTCTCTCTCTCTCTCTTTTTTTTTTTCCTTCTATGACCCATGAGTGAAGACATCTGCCTGGGTAGGTGGCATATCTGGACAAATGTGAAACCCAAAGACCCAACACTATCATACACCCATCTCGTCTAAGCCACAACCTCCAGCAAATCCCAGTCCCTGTGCTGTAAGAGGAACTATCTGCCACTGAAGCCCGGACACCTTCGGTAGCGCTTGTGGAGGGAGTAGGAAGCACTCTTGTTCAGAAAAACAATCTGTAGAGTCTGCAGTTTAGAATAAGAATTCAGAAGCTTCAGGTTTGTGTGTGTGCATATGTTTTTCTGAAGATTTATTTATTTATTTGAGAGGTAGAGGTAGAATTAGAGAGAAAGGGAGAGATAAAGAGATCTTCTATCCTTTGGTTCACCCCCAAAATGGTCACAATGGCCAAAGCTGGGTGGGACTGAAGCCAGGAGCTTCTTCCAAATCTCCCACATGGATGCAGGGGCCCAAGCATGTGGGCTGCCACCTGCTGCTTTCCCCGGCACATTGGCAGGAAGTGGGACTGGGAGCAGAGCAGCTGGAGCATGAACTGATGCCCATCCGGGATGTTTTACTAGCTGTTCCACAACATTGGCCATCAGTTTTTAAAACTGAATAGTTAGCAAGCCCCAGAACAAAATTTGTGATAGCTGTTGCTCTACCTTCACTAATTCAACACAAAAAGGACTTGGTTGGGTGGGTATTTGGCAGTTGAAGAAGCCACATGGTGGAGTGCCTGATTTGAGTCCCAGTTGCTCTGCCTGACTGAGCTCCTGGCTAATGTGTACCTTGGGAGGCGAGAGATGGTGGCCCAAGCGTCGGGGTCCCCTCCACACACACAGGAGTCCTGGGCTGAATTCCTGGCTCTGACTTTGGAACCAGTGCAGCCCTGGTTGCTGCAGGTATTTGGGGAGCTGGACGTGTAGATCAAAGATCTCTGTCTCTACCTTTCAAATAAGATGGAAATAAATAAATAGATTACAGAAAGACTTTGCTACTCATATTATGGTACGTTTTTACCAAAGTTAAAGCCTGACTGTAGAAATGCAATGTTGGTCTTTGAATCATTCAGACGTTAGTACTCATCTGATATTTCAAATAAAAATGAACGGTTATTACTATAATCAAACACAGCAATAGAACAAATATGGAACTATTTTAAATATATATGAATCTCTATAGATTTCACTAAAATACTGTATGGGTGAGAAAGAAGCCAGTAGGTGAAAAGGTGAGGAAACAACGACCTCTCAGAACCATGAGTACACCCAAGGAAGGATCAGAGACTAGGTGACACGGGGCAACTGGGTCACACTGTGCTGGGAACATTGAGGGCAGAAGCAGGAATCCTCACGGACGTTGGGTACGTGGTCAAATGTGTTCTTTCATTTTAAGATTTATTTTTTTTTATTGGAAAGTCAGATATACTGATATACAGATTTTTTTTTTTTGATTGGAAAGTACGAGAAGGAGAGACAAAGATCTTCCATCCGCTGGTTCATTCCCCAAGTGACCGCGACGGCTGGAGCTGAGCCGACTCAAAGCTAGAAGCCAGGAGCCTCCTCCAGGTCTCATATATGGGTATAGGGTCCCAAGGCTTTGGGCCATCCTTGACTGCTTTCCCAGGCCACAAGCAGGAAGCTGGACAGGAAGCGGGGCTGCTCGGACATGAACCAACACCAATATAGGATCCTGGCACATGCAAGGCGAAGAGAGGATTTAGCCACTTGGCTATCGTACTGGGCCCACAAACATTTTATTTCAAAGGAGCAGAAAAAATAATTTGGCTAGGGTTAACATGTAAGGTGAAAATAATGCTGCTTATTTAGGGAAAGCAAAGTGACAGTCAAGGCAGTGAGGCTAAGAAAAAGTTTCACTGAGTAACTTAAAAAGTCGGCTAGTTTTTCGCTCCTCGCTTCCCAGTGCATTATACCCTAACAAAAATGACTAGCACAACAATTACAAAGAACCCAGGAATTCTGCTTTATTTTCCCACAACTTAAAACCAAGAAAAAAAGGTTAATAAGGAAGAACGCAAGAAGCCCCACATCAACCCGAGAGCCTCTTTCCTTCCGCTCTAATGCAACACAATCTCTGCTCTGGTTAACAGGAATGTCGGGAGCAAACAGATACTCACGGAAATGGGAACCTGGCGAAAACCTCAACACTCATTACCTTCTTTAAAGAGCAAAAGCAACACTCACACAGATAGATTATTTCAATCTCATTTTACTATGAAAATGAAAGTAAAATGGGCTATGGCAGCAGGGTATTGGATAACCTCAATTAGCACGGGGATCAAATGAAGTGATGACATGCCATTATGACCTCGGGGGTTAAAGATTCAATTTTCCATCTGGCGAAACCCAGATTCCCAACACAAACGCTGACACCACCTGCTGTATGCTATTAGGCATTATCTTACGCAATCCTTAAGCTTTTTCCCATACAACAGGCATAGCCTCAAGTTTTATTTTCCCATATTGTGCTCTTCAACATAATTGCTTCCCCAGGAACGAAAATCAAAAAGAAATTTTATATAATGGCTCATTCATAATAGGCATTGAGATATTTCATTTACCAATTACTGGAATAGGAAAAACACCACAATTCCCCCTCTCCAGTCATGATTAATACTGTGTCAACACTTTCTACAGCACCTAGAAGTCAATCCAATCAAGAGCTTTCTTTATGTTCTCTATTAACAGCCCCCTGCCACTGAAATGGATAAATCTGGTCACGTCTTGTACAAGCCAGGGCTTTAAAACTTCTTCCAAATAAAAAATTCACTGTACCTTTAAATTGACAAGTTCATCTACTGCATTTCCTTGACTGCAGCAACGGCAAGCACTTTCTGAATATTTTACATACCAGGGCCTTGCACGCTCTTCGATGTTCGGCCTCTGAAGGTTTGAGCCTTCTCACTCTGAATTCTGGAAGCTAGCGGTCAGCCAATGAATGCCACCTCTCATTTGCATGAGGTCTGAATCCTACCATATTTGCACATTCAAATGTGAACATACATTTGGGCCAATAGCAGGTAACAAGTCATGTCCCTAGCCTTAAAATATGAAATTAACCGTCAACATGAAATGAATACTCACACTGTCTTTTTAAATTAATTAGTGAAAAAGGCAGGTCAATGGGCTAGGGGCTGGGGAACAGAATCTTCCACTACTGGCTCACTCTGCAAATGGCCACAACAGCCAGTGCTGAGCCAGGATGAAGCCAGAAGCCATAAATTCCATCTTGATCTCCCACATGGGTGACAGGGGGCCAGGGCCTCGGTCATCTTCTGTGGCCCTCCCAGGTGCACAGGCAGGCAGCTGGATCAGAAGCGGAGCAACCAGGACTTGAACTGGCACTCCATAAGGAATGGTGGTGCTGCAAGCTAATCTGTTGTGCCAGAAGCTGGCTCCATAATTATTTTAATGTTTATTCTATAAACTGTATTAACACTAGTTTTTTTCCAATAAATTTTTTGTTACCTGCACTTCCTTCACTAAGCAAATGAATCAAACTTTTTATGTTAATTCAGTACTTTTTAATTGTTCAGGAGCTAGGTAGGTTTTTCCTTTGTTAAAATTTATACTTTGGCTCAGCAATGCAGTGAGCAGCATCCCATAGGGACAACAGTTTGAGTCCCAGCTGCTCTACTTCTAATCTAGCTCCCTATTAAGCTCCTAGGTAAACACAGGAAGGTGACCCAAGTGTTAGAGCCCCTGCTACCACTGGGGAAGACGTGGAAGAAGCTCCCGACTCCTGCAAATGGCTTGAGCATTCTGGGTTATCAGGTGAGTGAATCAACATCAGACGGAAGATCTCTTTCTCTGTCTTTCCTTCTCCCTGTAATTCTGACTACTAAATAAGTAAATATACTTTAAAAAATAAATAAAACTTATACCTAGAGCAGGCATTTGGTACAGCAGTTAAGCTTCTGCTTGGGATGCTGGCATCCCATTATCAGAGTGCCTGGTCAGTTTCAGCTTTCTGCTAAGACACCAACTTGGAGGCAGCAGATAATTGCTTGGGTACCTGTTACCCACATGGGAGACATGGGCTGAGTAACGGGTCCCTGGCTCGGGCCTGACTCAGCTCTGGCTATTGCAGCTTTTGGGCAGTAAGCCAGCAGAAGAAACATCTCTGTTTCTCTCTGTCTTTCAAATAGAATGAAAACAAATCTTAAAAATTTTACAACATATTCCCTAAAGTATTTCACTTTATTCCTCTGAGGTGAATATACTTCAAGCAATATGAGCACCCAGGACTTTAAAAATGACTTTAAACTTACTTGGCTTTCTGAATCCACACACAGTAGTCCGAGATGTAGAGATCATTTAGAATGTAAGCTGGATCATTTTCCCGAAAAATTTTGTGGATATCCAGAAGACACTTTAAAATGGCACTTTTACCTAAAAGGGAGTATAAAATCATGAGTGACCCTTAAGAAAAAAGCATGTGATGTTTAACTGCAAAATTCAGAAACAGAGAGGTAATCTATCTAAAACGGCTCAGAGTTTTAATCATTCTTTAACAACATCATAAACATTGCTTCGGTACATTAAAAGGCATCAACCCCGTTAAATCCAAACCCCTTAGTTTTTTTAAATTATGAATAAGCTTTATACTCTATTGTTAGTTGATTATAATTAATATAAAAATTGTGGTTACCATAAAAATGCTATGAAACACAACTAGATTAATTAAAAAATGGACAGAAAAATTTTCCCAAATTAAATGAATACTTAAGACGGCATCATTTTAACCAGATAATGTTCTTCTAATTCAAGTTCTCAAAATAACATGAAAAGCTGCATTTTAATTTTTTTCAATAAAAGATGTATTTATTTTTACTGGAAAAGTAGATTTACAGAGATAGAAGCAAATATCTTTTGTCTGATGATTCACTCCCCAGTGGCTGCAATGAGCCAATCCAAAGCCAGGAGCCAGGAGCCTCTTCCAGGTCTCCCACACAGGTGCAGGGTCCCAAGGCTTTGGGCCGTCCTCGACTGCTTTCCCAGGCCACAAGCAGGGAGCTGGATGGGAAGTGGAGCAGCCGGACACAAACCAGCACTCATATGGCACTCCCGGCACATGCAAGGCAAGGATTTAACCACTGAGCCCTCACGCCAGGCCTTTTATTTTAAGTTTTGAATTTGTTTCTTAGTCAACATCTTTTGTCAAAGAAGTATCCAATTACTAACATTTTTCCCCACTGTAACACAAAATTCACACAGATAACCAAAATATAATAGCACACTACCTCAGACATAAGCTAAGAAAAAATTCTTTGTAAAAACACCATCAAGTTTCCAAGCCTTGCTCAATTACTTCTCCTGGCTACTACACTGATCTAATCCAGTCAAAACCACCCAAAGAGACCTTTAACAACCCAACAATTTTCTAGATTCCCCAAACCCATGCCATTGTTCAAAATGTGTTTCCTATGAGGTCAGCTACCACAGCTGGAGTTATACCTCTCTCTCTGATCCATGAAGTAACAGCGCTTTCAGGTTGTCAGTTTCACACTTAGCTTTACAGTTCCTGAACATGACAACAGTATCCTGTATGTTGAGTTCAGGAAGAGACTGGGTGTGTTTCATTAGCACTTCCCATTTACTTTCTGGATAATAAAATAATTATGAGCAGGAGACGGGCATTTTAGGATATTCAAATTGCTGCAATTAACTTTTTAGCATATTCAACACTAGAAAGTAGGTTTCAGGGGCCAATATTGTGGCATGATTGAGGAAGCCAGCTCCTGCAGTGGTTCTAGTCCTGGTTGCTCTACTTGCCATCCAGCTCCATGCTTACCCTCTGGGAAAGCAGTGGAGGATGGCCCGAATCCTTGGGTCTACATGCACACACATGGGAGACCTGGAAGAAGCATCTGGCTCCCCTGACTGCAGCATAGCCCAGTTCCAGCTGATGTGGACATCTGGAGACTGAGTTAGTGAATGTCTGTTTCGGGGGGGTGGGGTGTCTTTCTAATACTGATTTCCAAATATTTTTTCCCCTTTAATTAAAAGAATAAATAAGTTTCAGAAGAGCAGGGACCATTTTCAGGGATAATTTAGCAGTTATCCCCAATACCTACAAGAGTACCTTACAGCAGCCAGGTTCTTTAAGAATTTTAACAACCAGTGAATGACAGAGCAACCACCCACCTTGAACTCATATGGCATCTGAAGCTTCCCTTGGACACCCTCCTTGTACCCGCCCTTCCCCCACCACTGCCTGCCATCCATCCACACTTACAGTTCACCCTCTAATGCCCAGATTTTAACAATCTTTTCCCCCATCGTTCAGACTCTAGACTCTGCCCTTCTAACACACCCAAGGTTCTGTTTCTATTTTCTGACGGGTTGCTTGCACTAAGTCCGTCTTTGAGTATGCCTTCAAGGCCCTCTATGGGAACTGCTTCCCAGTCTTTGCTCAGTTGGTTCTGCCCTTCCTTTCCACTTGACCTAGTTTGTGGCAAGGTCTAACTCAGGTATCTGTGCCTTCGGGAAGCCCTAGGCTGACCTCCCTGGTACTTAGAGCCTTCACCCGATGCTGCACAACAAAGAGGAAGAAAAGCGTTTGCTGCTGTTCCCTACTTCCTCCGCATGTTCCCCACCCCGCGCCGACACCTCTACCCCCCATCCCTTCATCCCCTTGCCAGGAGCGGATGCCCATAGTGCCACTTTGGGCTCTCTGCCTGTTTAGGACACACCATGACAACTTTTTTTGTTTTTAAGATTTGTTTCTTTGAAAGTTACAGAGAAGACGAGGAAGAACTAGAGACAAAGAGAAAGAAAGGGGGAGAGGAGGAGCAGGAGGGAGGGAGAGAAAGAGAGAGAGAGAATATGTCCCATCTTCTGGTCCTAATGGCCTTAATGCCCAGGGCTCCTGAGCCAAGCTGAAGCCAGGAGCCTGGAGCTTCCTCTGAGCCTCCCACAATTTTTTTGTTTATTTGTTTATTTTTATTTATTTATTTATTTTTTAGCAGGGGATTTTAATCAATGGGTATTTATCAAAAGCCAGGGGTGCACCAGGCACAGTTGCTGTCCAGTAGGTTACCAAATACAAATTGAAGGGACCAGTCCACTTATTAACTTATCTGATTAAACAAGACATTTCATAGAAATGATTATAAAATGCATTGCTGGTACAGTATCTTTTGCACTTGCAGATTTTATGGTACCCTAAATAATTATTAATAAAAACCAGCCAACCCATATAGTAAAGTTAGCGAACCACCAGTCATTTATTTCAGTCAGCAAAGGAAGAAAACACAGCGTAGTCATGCTGAAACAGATGGGCTTCAGCATAAAATACTGACATGTTTCCAAATCACTAGCACAGTCCACTTAGAATACTACAAATTTGGTGTTTGTCATCCTGTATTAAATCACTACTACACCTGTGGGTTTAAAGATTAGTTTTGGTTTTCAAAAGGAGTTAAATGTAGTACTTGAGTCCAATACCTCAGCTTCTTGTCACGAGGTGGGAAGAGAAGTGCTCCAATTACAAATGAGTTACGGATCAAAACCAGAACATAAATAAGGTAGTCTCCTCTGCTTTGGCTGGTATTCTTACCAAAACTGAGACCTTAAGATGACACAGATGATTTTAAATGAGGACAAATCACAAAAAGAAACTAGACAAAACACAGGCATGGGTTGTTCTGAAGCAAATCTGTCCACTGAAAGCCATTAATTGCATTTTATTTGTTTATTTTTAAAGATTTGTTTATTTTTATTGCAAAGGCAGAGATATACATTTAGAGGAGGAGAGACAGAGAGAAATATCTTCCATCTGATGATTCATTCCCCAAGTGAGCGCAGCAGCCGGTGCTGAGCCAATCCGAAGCCAGGAGCCAGGAGCTTCCTCCAGGTCTCCCACACGCAGGTGCAGGGTCCCAAGGCTTTGGGCCATCCTTGACTGCTTTCCCAGGCCACAGCAGGGAGCTGGATGAGAAGCGGGGCTGCTGGGATTAGAACCAGCACCCATATGGGATCCCGGCATGTTTAAGGCTAGGACTTTAGCTGCTAGGCCACTGTGCTGGGCCCTGTTTGTTTAATTCAGAAGCTAGACAGGTAACAAATCTCTGAAAACAGAGGTAAAACCTTTTTATAGAAAAATGTTAACTCTTTACTTGGCTTCCCTACATGCAGATAAGAAGACCACCAATGAAAGCCCCATGGCTAGCTTGGTTTAAGAGAATTAAGTAATATTTAGAAGGCTTAAAAGGACAAGATATCAAGTTCACTTGGATAAGCCAAGTCAGAGCTGAGATTCATTAAAGTGGCCCAGATTAATTATGTCAAATGCTTAGTGTGGATTCTCCACCCCCACCCCAGGCCCACTTTACAAAGTAGGTGTGTTGAAGGCCAAATTTGATGGGAGGGAGAAGAAACGTAATCAAAATTCACACATCCATGTTAACCATGTTACATAAGAATCACAGAACTAACTGACCAATTACAAAGCCGTAAACCACTTTAATTGCACAGAGATTAGTGTCAACAATCATGTCACTGGATTCTTTCCCTGGGGTAAAAAGAGTATAAAAGGTAAGAGGATCATTTAAGCTTGTAGCTATTAATTTAAAGTTTCAGAAGTCATTCGAGATCTTCACCAGGAAAACAAACCATTCACTTATAAGCTGAATAAGCTGCTCCACAGTGTGAGCCCACAAAACACCGCCTCCCACGATGCTGGGCGGAGCAGAGAGAAGCAGGAAGATGAGCCCTGGGAACAAGCCGTTTGGCTAGAGCAGACGATCGATTAGGACAACAGGGAGAGTAAGCGGTGACGCTGGCAGAAGTCAAACTACAAGCAGGAGGGTGAGACGCATGCAGTCGGATGGCAGCGGGCGAGAAGAGCTCAATTCCAGAGGAGGCAGCGGGAGTCAAAGCCCCTATCCAACGACTCCTAGGGAGATGGTGTGGCATTAAGGTCACGCCGTTCAGCAGGATCCTCAGCAGCCATTCCTGAAGGCGTTTAGCATCCGAGCCTGAAGTAATACTGCACTCTTGCAAAGGGCCAGGGAAATGCAAATCTTTCCTTTATCACACACTCACACACACAGAATAAGTGAAAAGAAATGTCTAAAGAAGAAGAAATGACAAGCAACAAAAAGTATTAACTGCCAGAAAGTAAATAACAGGGGCAAACACAGTGGCACAGTGCGTTAAACTCCCACTTGGGACTTCCGTGTCCCATATCAGAGGGCCAAGTTTGAATCCTCGCCACTCGGTTTTCCCCCTCCAGAATCTGCTAGTGCCTCCAGGAGGTAATGGATGATAGCCCAAATATCACCCCCAAAGGAGACAGGATAGAATTTTGGACTCAGCATGGCCTGGCCCTGGCTGATTCAGGCACTTACAGAAGTGAGCCAGCAGATGGAAAATATCCACCTCTCTGC